TGGCCGAAAGGGCTGCGGATGCGGAGCAGAGACTTCCGCTTTGCAGCGAAAATAGGAGTTTTACTTGAGCGAGAAGTCATGAAAACGGTCCGTTTTCCCACTGCTACGTTTCGGTGTCGCGGTCCAAGGGGTGACAGGTCGGCTTGGAGTTGTGGGTCCCAACCTCGAAACAGTCAAAACATCTTCCCCAGGTTTAGAGATCTACCCAGTCAGGAACGATCACATACGATCACATACGATCAGCAAAAGCAGGTCGGGACTGATGTTCTCCGAGATCTACTCCCCGGTCTGACCGGCTGGAAACTGATCGGAGGGAAGCAGACATCCTGCCACTTGGCCAGTCGGTGCATCCCAGACGCTCCGTTCACAGGCCGACTGGTCTCTCAAAACCATACCCTAGGATTCGAACCACTTGTTTGGATGGGGGTTGACCAAAGAACCATTGTCTTACTAAGGATTTTCGCTCTACATCACCAGGTGAACCATTTCCAGGGCATAGGGATTTGAGGTTTCGGACCCCCTCCATAGGTTCGGGTCCGGCCCTGGTCCCTGAACGCAGGGTCCAGGTGCGTCCGGGCATGTCCAATGGCCATGTTTACCCTATCGGCTAGCACTAATGCTTTAATTGTCCGAATCCCGAACAGCTATTATAGTTGTACTCAGGATTTGAGACTACGAAACCAGCTCAACCTTTTTGAACATCGTCGAAAGCCAGGAAGAAGACATGGAAGCGGAACTCCTCAAGCACCCGCACCACCCAGTTCGGGTTGTATAGAGCCCCCAGATCCCATGTGTTGTCCATCCAGTAACTGTCCATCTCCAGGGGGGGGGTGCTGGGCTGGCACAAACAAGTGGGTGGGGCAACACCCCGTAACGTTGGTTGAACCTGGGTCAAATGAACAGATTCCTCTTTAAAGGATACCAACCTTCCATGGTTATAGGTAGGGTGAGGTTCTGACCCAAATCCACACCCTAGAAGTCGAGCTTGGCCATATCTTGTCTTAGTGAAGTGTTCAGGAAGTTCCCTGAAAGATGAGGTCCCCAAATGAATCCGACTCGTTTGACCATCCTTTGACTCTCAGAGCTGTGCCGCTGTGCCATCTCTCGTCCGTCTCACCGCCGACGATCCAACGAGAGCTCGCTCAGGAGCTACTAGTGGCGTCCTTGCTTCTAATGGCATCCCCCCTTTGTTACTATAGTCTTAGTAGCTTCTTGCTCCGTTCGTAGTAAGGCCAGGAGCGCCCCGTTGGGTTCGCGTCGCTTCTCGCTCCGGACTCGTGTCGTCCTCAGTCCCCCGCCTTCATCGACTCGGTCGGCCCTCTCCTCGACTCCTGGAGCGGCGAGGTCGTCCGGCGGGTCCGCTGAGCCAATCGAAGGCCGAGGTGTTCCGGCGGACCCCGGCATGGCAGTCCAGCTTCGGTCCACCATCTGTGACCCAATTTCAGTTCAGGGTCCCCCGCAAGCTCAGCCGAAAGACCTGCCCGAGTTGTGACCGAAGTAACGGTCTTTTTAGGTGTCTTTTTAAAGGGTCACTTTGAAGAACCAGGAAGGTCAAACATGGTCGAACCTGCTTTCTGACCCCATCCTTGGTCCAGCTTTTGCACCACCAGGTTCGTGGGGTGGTGGAACACGGCACCCTCGAGGGTGCCGGAATCGGGTCCGGACCCTTGGAAACTGGAGGATTTTCCCGCGGGTGGACCAAAAAGGGTCGACCAAAACGGGTGGACCGAAGCATCGTTGACTGTGTCGATCAGGTCGTGGGGGATCTACAATTGTCCAGGACGGGTGTCTTTGGCGAGGCATTTTGGTGTGGGAGGAGTTCCAGTGGTCGACCCGCACCCAGGTCGCAAAGTGTTGCGAGAGGAAATGAACGGCACGGGGGAAATGCGCCGAGTTATTGGTGACAAACACCAGCACCCAACCTACAGGTCTCCGCCATGGAGGGTTGGGAGTTGGGCTCTGTTGGAGGTCGAACCAGACAGGTGACTGGTTTGTCGTCGGGTGCAAAACCATGTGTCGATTCTGAACGCCAACGCACGGAGGAGCACCTGTCATCCGTTGTCCTCAACGTCCTCCGGTGAGGTTTCATACCCGACTCACTAAGGGTAGAAATGGATGGCCGGGATGAGCAGACTTCCACA